CTGAGTACTTTTCAATTTATAATATATCTGAAAAGCACATTTTAAACTTTGGAAATATTTTGAGCCAATGAATGGATATAATTAACCAGAAGTTTTCTGCTATTTGGGGGCAAGAGTCATGGTGATTTGTTCTCACGGACTAGCTATTCTAAGTCTTGAGGTGGCAAGAGGAAGAGCAAAGATGGTGGAATGGCCCAGGGATGCTGAAGTCACCCTGAGAATGGCAGAAAGAAAAGTAGAAAGGTATTTATATGCCATATATAGGACTCTTCAAAGAAAGAAGGAAAACATACAATTTTTGGAATAGAGAAAGGTACATGCACTAAACAGGAAGAATTTTTGAAAGAAAAATATAGGATAATAGTGTGAAGGCAGCAGCTGGAACCAGAGTGTGCCCCAAACCCTGAGATTCCAACAGCACAAGAGCATGGCCCCTCGGTGCCCAGGAGATGAAAGGAACGTTGTCACCAGGGGATCGCTGGCCAGAGGAAGGTACAGGAGTCTCCCCTGTGTCTTTAACAATGGTCAAAAGAGGCTTCCTCAAATGATGAAATGTTGTGGGGGAAGCCTAACAGGTATCACACGAAAGAACAGGAAGCATTCCCAGCAAGAATGTAACTCTGACACCACCATTAACTGCACCGTGCAAATACAGTCAGTGAAAGTGCCCCGTACCCACTTTTTCTTTGGGAGCTTGGTGGGTAGAAGAATACATCCTTCAAAGCAAGAGTTGAAAAGTGTTTAGGAGCCAGGCAAGTAAAGTGAATGACACATGGTAGCTTGGTGGAGAGTGAGAAAAATGAGGGATTGAAAAAAAAAAAAAAAAAAGGAAAGAAAAAAGAAAAATGAGAAATCTCCAGCCAGCTTGCTGGGGCCAACCTTGCTTTTCAAATGGAAATGTAGGATGTGGGATAATAAATCCTCTTCTACCTTAATGAAAAATTCCCAAATTTATTTTTATTTACTCATTGATTGAGTTCTGGTGATTAATCCAAAAGCTGAGCTACATTCCTAGACCTTTTAAATTCTTTTATTTTTATTTATTTACTTATTAACTTATTTTTTGAGACAAGATCTCATTAAGTCTCCAAATGGCTCAGGTTGTGTTTGAACTCATGATCCTCTAGCCTCAGCCACTCAAGAATGCTGGGATTGCGGGTATGTACCACCATGATGAATTTAAAATTGCAATTTAAAAATGTTAGCAGCTGAAAAATACTAAGTAAAATGTCCTGTAGGTCAAACCAAATTTATCTGTGTTGAGATCTGCCCCATGGGGGTACTGGTGTGTGGTTGCTGCTGTGGAACCAAAGAGAATTTTCCCGGATTCTGGCTCTGACACTCAGTTTTGTCATTCATAAATTGGTGAGTGGAGTAATACCTTACTTCCTCATTCTTTTTCTTTTTCTCCTCCTCCTCCTTTTCCTCTCCCTCTTTTTCTCCTCCTTCTCCTTTTCTCTTCTTCCTCCCTTTCTTCTTCTATTTCTCCTCCTCCTCTTTGTTCTTTTGTCTTCTTTTTCCTCTTCCTCTTCTTGTCCTTCTTTTTCTTCACAAAGCATTACGCTTGCCTCTCATGTAATTAAATGGGTGTACATGAAGAAATTTTTCAGTGTCTTCTACTTTACCAGAGCCAGTAAATGGCAAATGGCTCTTATGTTGACAAGAATCCTATAGTTTTTAAATGTTTTCTTCCAAAAATAACAAAAGGCATTCTTTTAGAATAATAAAAAATTTCTGTGTTCAAAACTATCCTTCATGTTAGTGTGTCTAGTAGAGCAGAGAAGGTATGTGACTGAGCTCTCGGCTTGTGTCTTCTCTTTAGATCCACTGGTCCTATTGAATCCTGAAAACCAGGAGGCCGAAGCATCTCTAAAGAAAGAAATCTTTACCTTTATCTTTATCTTTATCTTTATCTTTATCTTTAGTTCTACAGGCATTTGTGGAAGTAGCTCTCTACATCGCGCTGGACACGGTACCAAGTGAATCAGAGGCCCAACTCTTGTCCTTTTGGGAGACTGAAAGTGTACTCCAAAAACAATGGAAAGTTTATACTGCGGGAGGTAGGACAGATGGAGTGGAAAAAAAAAGGTAGAGGAAGATGTGCCTGCCTGCATTTATTTATGAGTCTGATATATGTCATATGCAGGGAAAATAATTTTGCATTTTTCCCTTTCATCAAGTTGCTCAAGAAGAAATGAGATTTCAGAATTGAAAAAATCTGGTAGATTCTTTGGTGAGAGAACATGAGAAATGCTCAGATACATAGAAAATAGGCAGTTCCATATACAGTGTATGACTCGAGTAGAGGCTTAGAGATGAAAACAGATGGCAGTGTCCATGGGGTCTGGAGGAAGGGTTGAGACGGGAGTGGCTAAGCATTCTGAGCACTGCATGATGTGGAGTCACATCCTGCTGAGGTCTGAAGGCGTGTCCCTCCTAAGGCAGAGTGTCCTTCAAGCTTAGGAAGCCCCCTCCCTGTGCCTATTTATCTTGACCCCTCTTCATCTTGACCCCTCTAACACTGGTTAGAGCCAGTGTGCTCTGTATTCTAACCCGTCAGCTTTGGCTTACCTGACTACTACTGTCTCTGAGGATAAGGATTCAGGAAAAAGAGACGATGGACAATTGCTTAGCTCCGAACAGCAATGCAGCAGGTTTCACGGCAGCTCAGCAGTTGAGCCCTGCCCATCACCAGTGACTGCCAAGCACCTAACAGGGGAAAGTTCCTGGCTTTTCTCTCTTAGATGACTCCTTTTGACCTTGATTATTTTTGTCCAGAATTTCTTGAGAAAATGATATTTTGTTTTTGTTAGGGTAAATTTGTTTGAGGGACTTTTTAATTCTCTTTAAAAACACTGCATCTCAACAGTGGCTAAAAAATGTGGAGAGGGAGGAAGGCTACCTTCTTCAAAAATCTTTGGACGTGCCAGTTTAACTCCATGGGAATAGAAGGATAAAACCAAATTTAAGCATAATAACTAGCTACATACACATATTTATATGTCTATAAAAATTGAGATTGCAATGTGTAATTTTCACCTTTAGCTGTTCTGAACATCAGTAAGTGAAAGGAAATATAAATATTCAAACTTACAGCATTTTAAGAAAATAATTTGGCAATGGTATTTGCTGCTGGATGACCTGCTCTCTACTCACTCGTCAACTGTGATTCTTTTGGCAAGTATATAATTATGCTTTATTTTAATTTATTTTATTACATCTGGAATGGAGGAGACTGCTTATAATAACCTCTCAGACTGGGTACAGATATGAAGTAGATTAATGCATAGGAAGTTCTTAAAGCATACCTGACATATGAACGGATGTGAATGATAATTAGGAATATGATTAAAGTGATAATGATTGAGATGAAATGGCCCTTAAGCTAAGATTAGCCTGAGTTAACCAGTCTAAGGTTCTCAGGTGGTCGAGGGATTATCCAACACTTTTGGCCAAACTTCCTTTAACTGTTATCCTTTAACTGGATAACACACTTGGCAGTGTCAACCATGGGCAGTGGTTCTGTCTGTCTGTCTCCTATAAAGACTTAGAGGCCCAAGAGACCAAAGGAGATGTTTACTGTGGTTCCAACATGCTAATCCCAAATTTGCTAACTCAATGGGAGATTTTTTTCAAAGAGAACTCTAATATTCAAAAGTATCTGCATCTGCTTATGTATGTACCTCTGCTATGGTTTAAAGCTAAAGGTTCCCTGAGGCCTCATGGATTCATAGGCAAGGCTTTGGAAAAGTGACCGGATGATGAGGGGTGTACATAGCTTAACTGTTTGGCAGCATGATCTGATTGGAAGAGTGGGTCACTGTGGGCAGACTTGAAAGGGTCTACCTCCCTGTCTGGCTCCTCCCTTGACCTTCTCTGCCTCCTCACCACCATGACATGAGCCACTTTTCCTCCACCAGGCCCCTCTGCCATGCTGTCCTGTCTTGGAGCCATCCAATTATGGACTGAACGTGAGTCAAAATAAATCTGTCCTCCTTTAAGTTTCAGGGTTGGGTATTTTGTCCCAGTGAGGAATGTGTTGAAGACACTATATATTTTAGGAAATAACACCTTTTTTGAAAAATAATTATTCATGAGTAAAGATTAAGAGTATTTTCTACTCCTTCCAGTGCAAAGAGCAGCCCAGTAGTTCTAGAATTGCTAGGCAATATTTTATAGACTAGAAAGCCAGTGAATATAGCATGTGGTTTCACAATTTGGTTGACTTAATAGGTATTTCCAAACATCTGAGGAAATAAGAAAATTGGGTATCCTGTTCATACACATGTATTGAGATTTTTGACAGTTTCTGGGTGCAGTAACATCAGTAATGCATAGCCACAGATAGCTTGCCAGATTAAATAACTGTGGTTCTGGATTTAATTGGGAACTTGTTACCTTAATGGTAATTCCAGACAAGGGAATAACAAAATGAAGGGCCTGCCCATAGTGTTACTGCTGCCTATAGAAACAAATAGGCTCCTTTGGGTTTAATTAGAGAATGTATAATCACACCTAAGCATGCTAATGCTAAAATGGTAACACTGAACATCTGGAAGATGAGCCTGGATTTGGTCAGTTGCCTTTAGAAACTAGGTTCATGAAAGTGTGACTGTCCAAATGAACAGTGATACTCCAGCTGCACTTAAACCCAGGCAAATGTGAGCTGGCTACAAAGCGGAACAATTTGGGACTTCAAACAGCAAGAAATCTAAGATGATCATTGGCATCTTTGGGAACAACATAAAAAGAAGTCATCTAAAATGAAGAACAAGTACATGAACAATTTTTTCTTCTTTGGCAAGACATACCTGCTTTCTGGAACACACAAGCAGGATGTCAGGCAGCTTCAAGGGGTGTGTTTAGGAAAAGAATGCATAAAAGACCATCCACAGTTACATAAGCTCAATTGAAAGGGTCAGAAAAGAAACAAATAGCGTTGTCACCTCATCTACAGGAGGTATTGTTACAAGTTTCACAGCAGATGGCAGAGACTATAGGTGATTACTAACTGTATAGCCTATTTATTCCTATATATACACACATATGATACAGTTTATAAAGTAGGTATGGTAATAAATTAACAATAGTAACTATTAATGCAATCGAACGATTATGACAAAACATTATAGTTAAGAGTTGTGTGAATGTGGTCTCTCTTTTGAAGTGTCTTATAGTACTTTACTAATTGGTGATATGAGATGGCACAGCGCTACCTGAGGTCATACTGGCATTGTGCACAGCCTTAGGCTACAACACAAAGGTTAAATTGAAGCCCTGGGTTACTGTGGCAACAAGCGTTGTAACTTGAATGACTACTAAGTGACCAGTGAGAGGGTAGCATATACAACATGGACACGTTAGACAAAGGGTGATTCATGTTTTAGATAAGGTAGAGTGAGTGGGTGAGAGATTTTCCTCTTAAAGGGTGTGCACAGTGAAAAATTATTAGTTATTTCTAGATCTTTCCATTTAATCTTTTCAGACATGGTTTACTACAGGTAGCAGTAACTGTGGAAAGTAAAACCACAGATAAGGGAAGACTAATATACACAAAAACATATAGAATAGCTATCAAAAAGGAAGCTTTGGGTATAACTTTTTCTTTTACTCTTTCCAGTCAAAGTCATCTATCTACCTATCTATCATCTATCTGTCTATCCACCTTATACCCCACCCTCCATAATGCATTGAAATGTCAATAAAAGAGACAGGGCCTTTGTTTCCATTTTTTTTCTTTCCAAAGGTATTTAAAGGGAGGTTTATGTTTCATTTATTCTTCATAAGTTTAAGTATATAAGTTTAAGTATTTAAGTTTGATAAAATTAACCTTAACCTTCGTAGCAGATTCTGTCTGAAACCAGCTTTGAATTTAGGAATAAAATTTCAAGTTTCATGGGATATTTTATATTCTTGCTCCATAAAAAGAGAACTCAGTGTCTCTCGGTTGTTAGGAATCCACTCCACACAATGTGGCAAATTACTAATCTATATAAATCAGATTACTCTAAAGTAAAGCATAACATGTGTGTGTTCTAGGGGCAAAAGTGAATAGAACAGAAACGTAGTGAAGTGTTGGTAGTTCTTGTGATCCCTTAGTCCTTTGTGTCTCTTCACTCCTTAGGAGGCACAGGTGAGGCAGGTAGGTGTGTGTAGAGTGAAGCAATTCATTAAGAACTCAGCCATGAATTGGAAAATCAAGGTGAGACAAGTATGATTATACAACTCTTACTATATTGATATCCAAATATTAATACCTACTTTTTGAGAGATATTACTGAATAGTTACAGATACAATGTGTTAGTTTAGGAAAAGGAAAGTGTTCAAGAAAAGCATTTTAGCCATAATTGACTGACGTATAGTTTACTAAACTAGGGTAATAGTTAAGCAATTAAAATAAATTTCCCATCTAAATGTGTCTTGCAGTTTAGGATCCTTTGGAAAAAATCCAAAATGCTTGATAATTTAGTCTTATTTTCCAAGGACTGATATATGAATGCAATGATTTTTGGCTATAGAATATCTAAACTTAAAAAAGAAACTATTTTAATTTGCTTATGCATAAGCCTATTAAAAACATTTCTAGGGGCTCTTGCTATGTTATTCTCTGAATATAACCTATCTTTGAAGTGGTATATTAGTTTTTAAAAAGTTATTCCCAAGCTGAATAATTAGACTGTAAACAAAAGCTATTCTTAGAATGTATCCCACATACAAAGCTATGCACATTATGCTTTGATTCAAATAATTTTCTTATAAAACTTTGTTATTGTTAGAGGTCTATATTCAGAATGACAACTTTTATTTTTGATTATTATTCCATCCTGAAGCAATTTCCCTTCTGTCCAATTAAACCAGAATTAAGAGCACATTTAGGAGGCTTAAACCTCTCAGCTGCTTGCTTCAGAAATGAAGAACTTTGGTGGCTGCGTTGATTTTGTCTCTTCATGGAGGGCTCAAAAGAAAATAGAATCAATTCCTTTAAAGTTTTCTGACAGAAGGTTGCTTTTGTTGCTTATAAAAAGTCATAGTTTTTTCTTGTTTTTCTGCTACATTTTCATATTGTAAGTCATAAAACGTCTTCCAACTTAATGTAAACTGCCCAATTCCAAATATCATTTCAAAATCAATTTATCATTATAGTTGATAGAAAGATTTCTGAAGTGTAAGAAAACTATCCAATGGTCTGATGAATATTCCACAAACTGCTAAAAATATATTCATGCATTTTAGACAATTAATTCCAGAGTAGAGATACATATTCATGCTCTTTCAGACCTCTTATTCTGTGATTACAAGAGGCTGTTTTAGTTACTGTTGCAGCTAGCTGGGTTATTGCTTCAACAATATGATCCACAATGCCAAAGCAGCTCCTTTCCAAACATTTAAAAGTAACTCAAGTTGTTTATATATGTCTGTATGTCCATTAGGTGATTTTCCTATAGCTCTGTGCCAATTGCTGTCATGGTATTTGGTAAAAATCATCATTAAATCAAGACAACTGCATTTAGTTAAATTTCCCTCATACAGAGAATTATAAGAAAATCACAGTAGCTGATTTGAGGCCAGCATTATTAAGTAAGTACAGATTTTAGAAAATAAATGCAGATTACAAAAATGGAGTTGTATAATTAAACATCAAGTAGTCCAAGTAATAAAAGTCATAGATTAACTGTCTCTCAGTTCTATTTAGGTCCTTTAAATACTGTCTCACCACTTGAGCATTGGTTCTTTTATCAGAAGAGTGCCTATCCTTAAAATTTGGAAACTTAAGCTCTTTTGGAGCACCAATCATCTGTAGAAAGTAATTGGCATCTTCTTCCAAAGTTTCAAATTTCCCTACAAAATCATAGTTGATCAAACATGGATAGCAGAGTTTGCTGACCTTTTCCCAGTGAATGTCCATTCCAACGGGACGGTGCGAATCCAGCAAATAGTGGATGAATTCTTTGAATTTGACCCCAGATCCATTATTTAAGGCTTCTTCACAGGCATTTGGTCGATATTTCTTTATAATTGCTTTTCCAAATACCGGATGGTAATAACTATTGGGGTGTTCAAATTTGTCTCGAAATGCTGACACTAATCTTTCCATTGGATCACGGACAAACACAGCTTTGGTGTAGGTATTTAAGCGCGTGTATATCCCTCTTAAGTCAAAGCTATCTAGCTTTTTCAAATGCTTTCCATAGTGGACGGCATCATGGGAGATGTTGTATGCAGAGGAAGCCAACCCATTTAGTACCATCAGAATCCTTTTCCAGTTGGAGCATCCAGCCTTGGGCACTTCACAGTATAAGATTTTGTGCTTATCTTCCACGTAGATCCTAGACACCATATGAAAAAGATGTGATTGGCGATGGCTCACTGCACCATATTTCCTGCAAAACTCCTGAAGGAAGGACCTCCGTTTCTCTTGGGTTTCATCAGTGTTTTTCCATTTGCTGTCTTTGACTAAACTTTTGTTTAAAGGCCGAATGTCCAATGGCCAATTAGTTTCACTGGATTTCACAGAAAGCATCTGAGTTCCTCGATGTTTTTCAACTGCCTTACTTATTGATGACCTTGTGATCTTATTCAAAGCTTGATCCCCTGCTTGTGAAACGCTGATCTTTGTTAGGTTCCTAGTAGGTCTCTCAGGATCAAGGAGATTTTCCTTTTTTCCCATCAGAACCTCAGGCATGTGAAACTTGGAGTTCTGTTAAAATAGAAAGGAGAAATGTTGGAAGCACATTCACAAATGTGGGTATAGTAGATAAGAAACTTAACATACTTGTTTAAAAATACTACCGAGGATAGCATACTTTGTATATGCTGCCAGAAACAGTTTAGCAAGGCATGTTGAATATCATTTTGTAGTAAGAATCTTCACAGACAGCATTATAATGGAAAACTAAATATGGTATTCACAGGATGGAGAGGAAAGTGCCCTAGATTGCCTGAAGTGTGGTGAAATGTAACCAATTCTGTGCGTCAATGGTTCTTGAGGCATTAGTGTAAGTGTTCCTTCAAGTACTGATTTAGTTAGTGCACTGGGGTATAATAAGAAATGTAGTTGGGCTGAAATTTTTGTTTTGGTGGGCACAGTTGAATGTACAGAACAAAGTCCTAAATTGCAACTTAAAATTTATGTAAGACTAATTATCAAGTCCTCAAGATCAGTTCAGCTTTATAAGCAGTTGCAAAAAGTGATATATTTTACCAGAGAAAATGTTTTACTTTTCTAAGATCCTTTGTCACAGTAGTTATGAAGTATAGGCATCATGAAATTTTTGTTCATATATGAGACCTTTCTTCTTTCTCAAGACAAGAATAATGGAGGAATCCAGTGTAAGTCTAGTTGATGTTCTGCTATGTAAAAGCTGCATCAAAAGTAGAAAGACTTCAGTCCTCCTGCTTAAAAGGTGAGTCAGTGCACTTCACATGTACTCTTCATCTGACCGCATCCGTTCTTCCTAAAACTCTTGTGGTTGAATGAAGAAAGACATTGGGACCTGCAATGTGATATTCTCTGACAGGAACAAAAATTGCTTGACAAAAAATTTGTCTTTTATTCTGGGTAAATAAGGAGAGTTCTGAGCAAGGAAGTAAGATGATCTCATCTAAACTTAGAAAGCATAGTTGTGGAGAAGGCTGGACTGGAAATCAATGTACTGAGTTTTTTGCATGTTACTCAAAAAATAAATACATGATACATGCTGAGGGTAACACATGGTGCCACCAGCCTGAAGGTAGAGGTGTGGTGGGCAAAATTCCATATGTACGATTTCTATCTCCGTTGCCTAGAATGGTCTGTAGTTGATAATAGTTGCTCTGAAATTCGGTTGACTGAGAGAATTAATAGCATCAGGTCTTCAATGATGACAGGTTTTCATTTAGCTAACTAAATGAAAAAGCAGAGGAATAAACCTATGGATGGAGTCACTTAGAGGAATCAGTTTTCTCCAGCTGAGTTTTAAGGGATTGGTTTTACCTAGTGCAAGAAGATCCTGTAAAGAATCCCTAACACCACATATCAACTTGTATCGTCCTATAAAAAAGAGCTTCCCTCAATCTTTTATGCTCTTGAATCATCCATCTGGGATCTCAATTTTGAAACTATTTGTTTGCTGTTTTCTGCAGAGATTTCTTTTTTTGTTCTTATCAATGATAAGACTATAAAGTTGTCCCCAATAACATACAACTAGATCGTAAGTTTGAAAAAGTCATAAGGTTATTGACAGGTATTATAGAAGGTACTCAGTACAGGCCTGAAATAAAACTTCCATGATACTTCTATTTCTACTTCTTCTTCTGGTACCATTGTACATGATAATTGCTATTATCATTGTTTTAGTAGTCATAGCAATGCTACTTTATTCCAGTGACCTAGTGAATTTCAAGATTCCCGGGTTACCCATTATGATTCATACTATAATTTTTGTGTCTCTGCACATACCCACAATCAATTCTCTCCTCTGCTCACCGAACAGAAATAAGTACTTAGTACAGCCAGCTTTCAAACTGTGCCCTGTGGACCTTCTGCTCTCTAGTCATCTGATTCCCCGTTAGTCTTTAGAGACTTCTGGAACGTTTGTTTCCCATGACTTCCTCCAAAGGACTCCACCCCTACCTCCTACTCTGCTTCACCTGCTCTTTCTCACGCAGATGAAATTTCACTTCCTGGAAGCGCTTGTCCCTAAACCAGAGGTGGGGAGACATTTCTTTGCAGTCCACTCTGCTTTGGGGACATCACCCAGCAAAACCTGCTGCTTCTGTGAGACGCATTTATCCTGCTGTCTGTCTCCCCACTGTCTCTTTAGATCCCTTTACTGCACGCATGGAGGACTTTCTAATGGAGACTTGTATTCTTTACCTGGATTCTTGCTACTCTATTTAGTGACTGGTGTCCAATCAACTCTCTTCTCTGGCCACCCGGCCTTTAACAGAAGAGTTCTCCACTTTATATTGTATCCACAGGGCCCATTTCACCTTTCCCATCTCTCAGTCCACCATGGTCTCACAAGGAAGCTATTAGTAGCCAGCACTACTAGTTTCTCACCCTTTAGTCGGGAAGCCTTTTTCTGTCCACCTACTCTAAGCTATGTCTCCAAGATTCCCTGCCAGAAGACCCTGTTGATTTTCCTCGCAGCACTATTCACACCCTGAAATGATTCTACATATTTCATTTATTTCTGTCTGCTTCCACTGCACCACAACATAACTACAGGGATTTTATCTTTCTTGTTCTCTACAGTACTCAGCATAGTGCCAGGCACCTAGATGATGATCAATAAATAATAGAGGCATGAGCATATGTGGTTATGATTTAAAGGTGGGCTTTGAAACAAATATTTTTGACCTTGTTGAAGAAAAACAGGGTTTATCAAAAGGTCAAGTTTAGCTTAGATAAACAGTTGACCAATTCTTGTCAAGGAACTGAAAAATCAGTGTTCAAACAAATCCTTGGCAGAATAGTAAACAAATAAAACAGGCACCCGCAGAGCTGCCTGTGCTAAAGTAGGTGTGGAGTTGGAATCGTACCTGCCTGCCAAGTGACATTGAGTCAAAGTCACTCAGCCTGCACTGAGTCCTTGGGGGTCAGGGTGGTTGTCAGTGCTGTGGATTCCTTGGCCTTACTGTAGATACACTGTCTGAGGGGGAGGCTCCCGGATCTAATTTCAGCAAGCTCCCCTGGTGTTCCTCAGACAGGGGTGGCTTTTGGGGACCACACACCTAGTGTGTGAGACAACAGTACAAGTTCTGATGAACGCTTCTTCTCCTACCCAGGGAAGAAAGACAAAATGGTGGACTTGAATGTTAAGAAGAGACAGAACGTGAATGTAATGCAGAGATGGCACCTTATCCTATACTCAAATCAGATGCAATAGTTCTTTCCTGGAAGGCCATGCTCATCAAGAAGCTTGGTGATGATTCGTTTAGCTGGGAAATGGCTACAAGATGGAAAGGTCCATCAATCAATATAAATAAGGCTTAATTCTCCTGCTAGTCTGTTTAGTGGTAGTCATTTTTCTGTACTGGGACAAAACTGAGATATAGGACACAGAGATTGTACCAGCTCTCCACTAGAACTCTGGGGTGGCCACCAGGTCTTCTTCCACAACTTCTTATGTCACTGTTACTCACTCTCTGAAATCTGTTATCAGGATTTGGTGTCCTTTCTCCTCATCCTTTCCCCATGTCCACTCCCTTTTGATCCTAGCAAAGGCTTTTCAGGCCTGAAATGTTGGAACCATATAAAATCAAAGTTAATGACATGTTACTTCTGACACTGAATGAATTTCCACCCCATAATCACAAGCATTATAACAACAACAACAAAAACATGAGCTCATAGACCTCCATTTTCCTTGGGCATGCAAAGCAAACCCGCTCCAAGTTATGAGTGGTAGGTATTGGGATCCTCTTAAACTCTTTTTCATTGCTGAAAGGGTCTTATTACCTTCTGATTACACACTACAAAATAAGAGAGCTGCTTGAACAATTAGAAACTAAACTGGCTGCTTTATATTTTATAATGCCTCTTTTTATGATTTTAAATTTATTACTTCTTATTTGAATATCTTTTCGCATCCTTTGGATTAGTTAACCTGAAAATTATTACTGAATAGTCTTCCCTGAACATTTTATTTTTCATCTTTTAACATTTTAGATCAGCATTACTAGACACAAACAAGTCCCGATTCCTTAGTTGGCACTTGCAGCCTGGCTGTACTGGGCCTCTTCTCACTCTTTCTCAACATGCTCTGACACTCTTTTTCCCTACCCCTGCTCTTGGCATCCCCCAGCCATCCTTTACCTCTTTGGGGATCTTTCAAAATCTTCTAGGTCAATATAAAAATCCTAAGTTCATTTTTTCCTGAAAATTATCCAGACCTCCAGAGAGTGATTTTACTCCTTTCAAAATGGTATTAGCAGTTAGATTGTACCATCTGTAAAGAATGTAACTTTACTCCTGATAATATTTGTCATTTGATATTTTTGGTGGAAAATCTTAGCCACAATTTAGTTGTACACTATAGATACAGTTTTCCATATATACCTTGGAAAAGTGGGCAGTTGCAAGTTAGCTGAAAGATACACAACTACAGATAAAACCGAATATTCAAATAAGTCAAATGGTAGAATGCGTGAATATTCAGCAACTGGAATACATTTGGAAACTTGCCTTTGTACCAAGTGATCTCCCTTGTGAATTCTTCTGTGATCCTCAATATTGTAATGAATGGCTTTTCTTTTCTCTCATTGAGGTCACTGAGAGCCTACTACACATCGGCTGTGTGCTAGATGCCAAAGGTGAGATAGATTAAGTCTCAGACCCTTTGAGGAAGACAGATCAAATTGGGTTGATACAAATAAGCAGCTTGTGACAAACAGTGACAATTGCTGCAATGAAACATCTGGAAAGGCAGCCGTGCCTAGAATAAACTGAGGATGAGGATGGGGAAGCTAGCAGGTGCCAAGCCAAGACTGGGAAGGACTGTGGTGGCACACTGGGAATTCACAGGAGATCAAACTCAAAGGGGAGCAGAGGTGGGAGTTAGTCTGAGTCCTTATAAAGGGTCTGCACTGGAAGACAAAAATTTTCAACAAGGCATGACAGATTCAAGTCTTTGAATGGACGTTTGTACCACACTTGGGAAGACGTAACTAAGGGAAGGAGACCCCACACAAGACACTGTGATTGTTCATCTGGAA